GAACCTCGCGCTACCGTACCTGGCCGGGCAGATTGCCTCTCTCCATTCGCTCCAGCATTCGACCCTCATATCGGCCAATCCAATCACTCCGCGAGCGCAAGCCAAGGTTCGAACGAAAGAGCAAAGCCGGGCTCAAAACGTCCTGCAAAGGTCGTAAGGCGGCGACACTCGAACTTCCAAAACCTTTTCCATCGGCTCAGCCACAGAGACGCCGCATCGGCCGCTGAGCGGCGAAGAGGTGCAAGAGGGAAAGAAGATGGAGATGTTGATCTTGGACTAGCGCCTTTGCGAATGAAGACAAATCAGAAAGAGAGATCTGGCTGTACCGCTCACAAAGATGCGGTACGGTATGCAAGCCTCTGCCTTTCTGGTCACGCTGTAGAGCGTGGGTCTTCATTCGCCATTAGCTGCCCTTAGGGGTTGGGAGAGTGAACTGCTTGGAAGATCGAGCATCTCTACCGCAGCATATATCCAGTCCTTGCCGTGGCTAACTCGACTCTGACCGGCGAGGAGGATGCTTCTCACTTTCGTCTCAGCGCATCGCTCACCTGACATGTATTTGCAAAGCAGCATGTGATTACCAGCGGAGAACCTGATTGTCCCTCCTGTCCATTGTACCATACGGAGGCTGGATGAGCGAGCGACCTGTCGCACTACAGCGTTACCCTTGAACATCTGCTCAAAGCTCTCCCTTCTGCTTCTTTGCATCCTCCTTGAGCTTCTCAATGTTGCTAGGATGCGTCAGCTCATCCACCGCCCAATAAATCAGGAAAGCTCCAGCTCCCAATCCAAAACCGGGCCACGCGTTCCGTATGTAGTAGCTGTGAGAGAAGATGGGATGCTTACGCCACGCCTCTCGAGCAGCCCAAGGGTCCCTGTATTGCGAGGCGAGTCGTGCGATGCTGAGGCACGGAAAGAGAGAGAGAGAAAGATATAGTCAGGGTTTCTGTGTGGTAGACGTGTGACCGTTGACAGCACGGGCGGACAGGATGGAAGCGAGATGCTCACGTGGGACGCATTGTGAAACAAGGGCTTCGAATCTGCAAGCACGGTGGGAGGTGGAAGCAGCTGTGTGCAATGAAGTGCTGCGATCTGTGCATCAGCAATAGACAGTGCGAGTAGTGAGGAGAGCATCAGCAAGGCCAGCAGATGTTGAGCAAACGATCACATCCCGGGCGAAAACACACCTACTCTGAATGCGCACGTAGACGTGTGGGGCACTGCTTGCGACAGGGGCGGAAAAGGCGGCTGATCGGAATAGCAAGCGCCCGAATTCAAATTGTGTAGTCAAGAGTGAAGGATCCGGCGGTCCGAGCTGGTCGCAAGCGGAGTAAAGGGTGTTGTTGAGGTGAGAGCGGGTCCTTGGGAGGGGTCTATTGGCAAGAGGCTGCTGCTCAATCGCTTGCATGAGCCCCGTAGTATACGAAGACGAGCAAGACCAGCTCGCGCGCGAATCGTTCAAGGCGGCCTCGAGCGCATCACGTGATACCACTGGTTCATGCACGCACGGGCGCACGGCCCCAGGCACGCACAGCTCCGAACGTTTGCCCCAAGTCACGACAATTATATTGCGAGTGCAAGGCGTGAGTCTGGTCGTGAAGGACGTGGGCGCATCCACCATCTCCTGCTCAACAAGAAGCAGCGTAGCGAACTCTCAGACGGACAAGTTGGGAAATCAGAGACTAGACCAACGGAAAAGTGCTCGTGTTTGCCATCCAAGGATCGTCGCCACCATGACTTCACGTAGCAATGCAGACTTCGATGGGCAAGAGGTGCTCGCATTCGCCATCGAATTGGCCAAGAAGGCCGGAAATGCCATTCTGCAAGGCTCTCGGAACCGCAAGGCCAAGGCCGAAGCAGGTAAGATGTTGCACAACATAGCTATTACCTCTGCTCTCATTGGCTGACGAAAGCTCCTCTGGTGATTTTTGCCAGACTGGGAATCTCTGACAAAGAAGAATACGGCTGATTTGGTGACGGAGACGGACCAGGCGGTGGAGAAATTGGTCAAGGAGACGATTGCTGCCAAGTATCCCAGACACAAGTGAGACAGACCCCACATTCTCTGCAGTGTGTGCTTGGCAGATCGGGAGCTGAACGTCATACGGCTACCACGTTGGACCTGGACAGATTCATTGGCGAAGAGTCTTGGGCTGCGGGCGAGGAGGCAAAGCTGGACGATGCACCTACCTGGGTGAGGCAGAATTACGTACAGCATGCGCATCCAAGTCAGCTCACTCATTTGTATTGCTGTGCTTCTCGCAGATCGTTGACCCGATCGATGGGACGACGAACTTTGTGACTGGCTTTCCCTTTTGTGCCATTTCCATCGGAGTGGCCTACAAGCAGCGTCCCGTCATTGGTGTGGTGTGAGCTGCCCGGTGCGCAGAGCGACAGCGCACTTATCACAGCTCATGCCTCTTGAGCCGATCTTCTTCTTCAGATACAACCCTTTTCTGCGACGATTGTACAGCGCATGGAAGGGCAACGGTGCCCATTTGGAATACCTCGATGAGAAGGGCACCCAGATAGGACAGCCCTCCAAGCTGCCTCTCAATCCCATCTTTCCTTTGCCTTCGTTGCGCCATGCCGTCGTGGCAGTCGAATGGGGTAAGGTCCTTGTGCACCGCCTTCCAGCTTTTCCCGCGCGCAATTCGCCTGACCTTTCGCGCATTCACGCAGGCTCGGACAGAACGAAAGAGACGATTGAGAAGAAGACGCTCAGCTTTGCGAGGCTCTGCGGTAATCCGGAGGAAGGCGTGCAGGGTGGCCAATTTGTGAGGGGCGTCAGAAGTATCGGAAGCGCTGCGCTGAGCTGCTGTGCTGTTGCCGAGGGTGCTTTGGATCTTTGGCAAGTGAGTGCTGGACGTGCTTCAGCCATAGAGGCGTGAGCGCTGAGCACTTCCTTCATCATTGATGAATCAGGAAGTTGGATGTTGGGCTTGGGGTAAGTTGATTTCACTGGCCCCGCCAAAAAGCCGCGATTCTGATTTGAAGCGCTGTCACCTTGTCGCCTCACGCAGACGTGTGCGCGGGCGCCGTCATTGCGCAAGAGGCAGGCGGAGCAGTCGTAGGCTCCAAACAAGCTTTCCTTTCGGGTGCTTCCAAATTCAATGATGTGACGCCTGGTGAGCATTTCCACCTAGCTCAATGCACAGAACGTTGCTGAAAGCCTTTGCTGATGAACGTTGGCTGCTGCGTGCACGTGCGCCACATTCCAGAGGTTCTGCAGGGGCGAAAGTACGTCGTGATCAGAGCCATTGCGGATTCGGAGGGCGAAAAGGGAATCGATGCCCAAAAACGAATCATCACAGACTTTTACGGAGCGCTGGAGGACTGGGAAGCCAAGTAGAGCGTCACATGTGCACTTGAAACGCGATGTACACGTTTTCAATTTCGATGCTCCAAGGCTCTACTTAGGGTTTGAAGAGATTAGTTTCTGGCCAAGCTTGGGCCAGAGCATCGGTAAGGGAACGCCACGCAAGCGAAGAATTTATAGACCAAGGGATCTGTTCCCATGGCGTTATTTCAATTTGTGACCGAGATGCAGCAATCATAGCCTTTCAGCTCGATCACCAGCCGGTGGAAATTTTGCGAGGCGGTGGAGAAGAAGCTCCTAGAGAGTGGAGCGCTGAGAGGTGAGCCTTTTCTGGCAAATTGCCAAGTATGCGCCTCAACTCTTTGGCATCCTCCGCAGAGCTGCCAGAACTCGTGCTGAATTGTCGAGTCAGCTCTGGGGCGAGCTCCTGCAGCAAAGATGAGCAGTCGCAGGGGCGTCAAAACAAGAACAGCAACGTATGACGTTGAATGATGATGTTGTCGTCAACGAATCCACTCACTGGCTCATTCAGCCGCTGAGGCGTGCTTGGCACGGTCGATGGCTTAAATTTGGGCGTATGCCAGTCGGTGCTCGAGATCGAAGAGATGGATCCGTCGGATCTTCTAGGCGAATCAAGTCGCGAAGGAGGGCTTCCAATCCAACCTCGGCCAGCTTGCAACGGGCTGCCGAACGAAGTTCCATCTTTTGGCGCGATTCCGAACTAAGATAGGCGCATTGATTGGCAAGACAGAATGTCAGCAATTTGCGGAGGAGCATCCGAGCGCGCAAATGCACTCTACTCGCCTTTGCGTACAGCTCTTTGTCCAGATTGCGCATGGCGAGCGAATGGAGCCGCAGATCTTCTTTGAGCTTAGCTTCTCCTTTCAGAGGTGTAGAAGGAACGCCAGGTGATGCGTATTGACTTGCCCACGTGTATCGACGTTTGCCCACTAGCTGCTTAGGCTCAATTTTTTTCGACTTGGATAACAGGGTCGCGGATGAGGTTGCAGTGCTCTCTGGACTACCACAACTGCCGCCAAAGCAGCCGCTGACCGTTCGTTTGAGCTTCTTGAACCTGTCTGCAATGTGTGGCGGCTTTTTGCGTGTCGCGATTCCCGCAACATCAAGGATTTCATCCGCAAGCTGAATGAAAGCGAAGTCTGCTTCAGCTTACTCGCAGCACGGCGGCGCGTTCTTGGAGCGCATGCCAACCTCTTCGCGCCCGAAACTCACGACGGCATAGGGAGGGCCGCGAGGCTCCAATGGTGCTGTCACATCACCATGCCTCCGATTCAAAGGGAAGTGATCAGGATTAGAGCGACGTTGCACTTTCCCACCCGTAGTCGAGGTTGGCGCAAACACAAGTTGACGTTTGTGGATGTGCGGCACAGCGCTCCGTGGACTGTTCGGGTCTGCTCGATCCAAGGGCGACAAAAGTTGCTGCGGATCGAGTGCGCACCTTCATCAGACTTTGCGCTTCTCCCTCGCCAACAGCGCAGCTCACCTTTGTGCCTTCAGGCACTCTACTACCCCAGTCGGCTGCGTCGTTGGATCAAACACGGCTCAAATCGAGTAAGTTTCGACAAACTTGAAGCTAAGCCTGGACCTCAAACTTACGACTCCGGAGGTTCGTCAGATCTGGCTCGGATCTGGACCGTGTGGGCGTCAACAATCTGAGCTCGTCGGGCTTAGAGTCGACCAAATGATCGTAGCGCGACGGACAAGTAAGCTGCTGCCGAAAGCAAAAGCATCATCAAGCAGAGACTCACTGTGAACGCTGACGGAGGAGATTCGGGCCTCGAATCCCAAGGCGTCGGCCTGTTTCTGAAATGGTCCCTACCTCCCGACAGCTCACCGAAGCTGAGCGGTGAGAAAGGTGCGGAAGGGGCCGAGGAGGGCGAGACTCTCGCTGATGGGTGTTTCGAGACTAGATAGTCAGATCCAGGAGAGTTAGAGACAGTCTCGGTTGTCGTTCTGATGTGACGCGAGTGATGCCCTAAAGCTTCGGGCGCAGAGCCCAGGCATCAGCTACAGGCAGGTTGGAGTTGATGGAAAAGAGGCCGACTTGACTTACTGGTCGGCCCGTTCCCGTCCAGGGAGGAATCTGAATGCCTCGCTGCTGACAGCAATTCTTCGTGCTCGCTTATCTGCTGCGCCGAAGAAGGCTGCACGTCTATGCGTCGTGTGCTAGCCCGCAGTCGATGTATTGCCATTGGGCCATGATCGTGCGAGCCCCACAACGAAGGGTCGCGCGGGCCTTGAAAAGCGGCGCGCCTTGGGGGATCATACACCATGGGCTCAGAAACACGAAGTATTCTGGGCTCTCCCACCGCGATGTCCACCCTGCCGAAACACTTCAGGCAGCCCTCGAGCGGGGACCTCCGACTTATTTCCGACTCAACAGCATCTCGTTTGGATAACGAAAGTCGGTTCGGGGTGGTGGGAAATAACGCAGGAGAACTGTGGGCTGAAGTAGATGTCTGTGGGAGGTTCCTAGTCATGAGCGTCTGGTCGGAAACCCGATCTAGCTGTTTAGCACTCACGCTATACAGCCTGGGCGGTGTCTCCGCCCGGAGATCGTGTGCAAAGGGACCCTCAAGAAAATCGTGTCGGTGCGCATTTGAAGTGGAGCCCTTTTCACCATCGTAGAAACGCTGCAACTTCACACCATTGCTGCTCGCACCATTCGAATTTGGCAGCCGTCCGTCTGCAGGAGGAGCCATGAGTCTCGGCACGTGCGGCTCGAAGAAGATTCGGTCTTGCGGCAAGCGCGTTGGCGTATTAGCTCCCTCAGACGAGGATGGGGTTGCATGCTGTCGCCAGATCAATCGATGGCGCGGAGTAGAAGTCATGTAATTTTGACTG